ATATTACTGTTTTTTGCAATCTTAGCTGACATTAACAATATGGTTTTCTACACAGCTATGTGGGAGTACTGAGCAGTTTTTGCTTTGTATTCTGTTGTAGAAAGTCTGACTTCTTTTCTATTTCCCACATGGCAGTGGTACAACGTTATGAAACTGTCACACAGACAATGACCTCCACAGATGATGTATGATAAATATAAATATTTAATAGCCAAATGTTTAGTTATAAAAATGATCCAAACAGAAACTAAGATCATAAAGCATTCCCTGTTCTAGTTCTACCAACATTTACACCATGAGAGGATATAACAAAGGCCACAGTTTACTTTATTAACGATGGTCCAGCGATTCATTATTGCCTATATCTCCACACACCCTCACACCCAACACCAGGTTAATATAGACATATGACCTTCCCTGACAGTAATGGAACCCATAAACTCTTCAAATATCATATATATGTCAAGATGACACGACCATATCTTTGTTTGTGATAATCGACTTCATGTACGTTGTTGGAATGCAAACATTTAGTGTCGTCCACTTCCTACTGATTAGCCGATCATTGACACCGATCACTTGGTGGAAGATATCACAGTGAAAGTGGCCCAGAGTGGAGGACCAAGTGAGCACTCTGTTCAACACTAATAAATACACCGATCAATTTACAGACAACCGTTTCATGGCTGTTTCCCAGCCCTTTCAGTTAAGCGCTTGGTGCGTATAAAGCAGAGTTAAGTCCTCCCTGATCAGATTGAGGCGCGTCTTTATCGCTGCCCGCTCAGGCCAACGCTCGGTTTCGAGACAGCGAAACGCACTGTAAGACATGCCGTATTTGCCTGCCTGGTCAGAAAGAGTCTGCACGACTTGCATTAATACAAATTTCTGTCTATTCTTCTCCTCCACTCAAAGGAATCAAAAGCAAAAGTTTACATTTATGAGTGATCAGGAACGCCGTATTCGGCGTCGACTACCCTTCTATTTGATTGCTCCAGCAGACAATTCGTGCCCTTCTATATTGACATGATATACAGGGCCAGCACCCAGAGGCTTTCAATGGCTGCAGAGCGCTGGCCTTACACACCTATACAGCCATATTTATAGTGATAGGATAATATTTATATGCACACAATCTTAGCATACATATTACTAGTGTATGTTGACTTAGTCAACACAGGTGACACTTGAGACTGGCTATGCCACAAGTTGAAGCTAGATGGATGGACGTGAACACAATGAATGGGATACCAATCAGAGGAGCTTCGCACATGGTATTTACCCCCTGCCTAAGAAAGTACACATGGACATTCACGAAGGCCTGGCGCTAACACTAACTCCAAGTTACACTCACAAAAAGCTGCATATTAAATATCAACAGTAATAGCACACAAATGGCCCATGGAATAAATCTTTTTATCACCTAAGAAATTCTTGCAAAGATTTGTACAAAGCAGAGTAAGAATCATGGATATGAAACATATCGGCCTCCCAGGACTGGTGTGAGGTGGACTGATGCCATCTCTAGGACCTTAGAGACGTGACTATTGCTGGATGATGACCAGCTGTCCCGCCGACACATGACAGATGGGTGCTGGTATCTCATGGCCGCAGTAACACACCACACACAACCTGACGACAGAGATAGACAAGATACCAGTCTAAACATATCAGTCTTTGAGCAGCCTCCAGATCACAGTGGTAGAAACTAACATAGTTAGTCCACTTGTCCTTATAATGATAACATATAGCAAAACCCTTAAAAAAGCAAATTTCTACTAGTCCTTATGACACCTTAAGTATTGGGCAGTTTGGCAAGGACTACAGGACTAGTGCCAGTGATCAGTGATCTTGTCTTCTGGTGCTGAAAGTGGCAACACTAGCCTCAGCGTGACTTACCTCATGTACGATAACTATCTGAATGTGTAACAGTGAGTGAGTGAGTGAGTTGTGAAATACGACAGATTACACCCAAAGCATGAGGCATGATGAGACTCCTCGGCCTGCTGCAAATGTGACATGTCTGTTGGAAGGAATACTTTTCTTTCAAACGAGTGACAAAGACCATGAATATCTGAGCTGGAGCAAGGATGATATGTATATGTTTATTTTATCTACATCTCCCAAGAGAGTCAGACTTGATCATGTCCAAATATTGGAAACACACCTCAGTCTTTTTAACATATTTTACCAACACATTCATAGTTGCCCAGTACATGCAAGTGCATCTTCCCGAGGCAAGTGAGTTAACTGACTTTAAAAGTCCTGTTATCACCCTTGCCGAACTAGGCTGGTATAATGGAGTAATATTTTGGCTGGACTAACGAGTCTGTGCATAGTCCAATCACAATCGCGTAGCAAAATCGAAATGGTCAATAGGAGTGGCATAGAAGGGACACAGTTTGTAATAATCATTGGTGGCGCTAAGATCGAGCCCAGAAAGTGCAGCCTAGTTCAGCAAGGGTGGAAATTGGACTTTTATGGTCAGTTAACTCCCTTGCCTCGAGAAGATGATCCAAGAGTTGAAATGAACAAAGTCTAATCACTACTCACACAAAGACATGGGACAATCTTCAGAAAGAACAAGTGTCGTCATAATGCCCTGCCCTTTATGATAGAAGTTTAAAAAAAGTTTCTGGTTGAATAGCATGCGATTGGCCAACAGATTGGTATGTCTGAGAACAGACGCAAGTGTATTACATGTCGGATGATGACACAACCCATGGCAACTAACTTATGCAGGAGATGAATATTATATGTATTCTCAGACTGAGTATTCTATGACCAGAAATTTCATTTGGAACCAACAGTGTCATATAAAACCCTCAAATATCAAAACACATAATGTTTATTGACACTGTTACATAACAAAGGTTATCAGTCTTTTTCTGTGTGTGTGTGCATGAAGTCTCACAATTGTGAGACAGACATGACCTCAGTCTGGAGATGTTTCATAGTGTGCTCGCCTCGCTAACAGAATGTGAAACCCCCCAAATAAATTGAAATTGTTCAGAAGATTAATGATCAAACTAAATATTTAACTAACGAGGTATCTATTTCTCCAAGCATAATGGAACATTTTCCAATGTGGGATTGAAGATACTTATCAAGAAAAGCAACCGTAAGCAGTGAGAAGTCTGAAATATTTCCAGCCTTTGAATGCCATTACAAAAATGTTTAAACAAATGAAATTGCACCATGCACTCCCGTTCGCTTTTCAATATATTGTCAGCCATGATGTCTCCTCCTCTGAGAGTGAATGTGTTGAACGCTTTGAACTATCCCAACTGATCACCTTAACCAAAACACAATGCAATATTGGTAACAAAACACTATCAGCCTTAAAAGAAATGATCTTTACTGATCAATATTGAAAATCCTACATGAAACCAGCCCGACCAATCTTTCAAAAAAATAAGCCTGCATCATAAAAAGGAACTTTTGTTGAATATCAAAAGACGGCAGACCAATATGGCCACATCAAAAGACACAATGAAAATACATCTGTGTTTTGAAAGAAAATAACAATATATCGAGACACATCTTAACCATGATGTTGGAATACTAAGTTTCATTGATGCCTCTTAGTGAGCGATGTCATTGATGGTGCTGCCACCTGGTGGGAGAAACACTGTGTGAGGTCACTTCCTGAAGCACACACTCGTCTCTAAGGTCTCTAAGCACAGTCCTGCCAGCGCATTGTCCTGAACATACCAGAACAAACTGGCTGCCCCTCTCGCTAGCCTGGACCATGTTTATTCTGGTCGGTCATTTGATGATTGAGTGTTTATGTACTGCTGTCTTTAATTGCATTGGATGTCTCACCCGTAATATCAATAAACGTAGAGAAAATATACGACTTATAATTCATTGCATGACAAAGACGGGTCCTTCTGATGGAGCCAGGGAAATAGTGCCTCCTGGAGTTCAGACCAGGGATCTTGACAGATAATAGTCTTTACATCGCTAGTATCCTCGAGACCAATCATCAAACAGACAGATAAAGGACTAATCAGATGAGATCAATATCACCTACATGGTGCATTTCTCATGTGTCAATCACTGACGTTCAACGACTATCGTTAGAGACATGCAAAGGACATCAGCGTACGGACACAGTCAGACATCAGCCACAATGCCGACACGCATGTCAGTACACCATCAGATACTCATCTCATAGCATGTAGAACGTCCCGAGTCAGAATACTTCCCTAACATTTCAATAATCAAAGTACTAAAACATTCCCTTAAATTAGTTCAATATCTAAAAGAGCAAAAGATTGTGTGAATATTACAAAAATAGAAATCATCATATTAGTTTACTGATCTTATCGAGCTATTTACATTGAGTGCTTACTGCGCTCTCAAGCAATTTCATCTGTGATTAATTGGTTACTCTTTCATGTAATTGAATCGGTTGTAACATCGGTTTGAGTAAATGTTATATAACAGTTGATGTTGCAACACACTGAAGCATATGTTACATAATAGTTGATTGGAGCATATGTTATATAACAGTTGATTGGAGCATATGTTATATAACAGTTGATTGGAGCATATGTTATAAAACAGTTGATTGGAGCATGTTACATAACAGTTGATTGGTGTGTGTGTTATATAACAGTTGATTGGAGCATGTCTTATATAACGTCTGATGTTCCAGCACACTGGAGCGTACATTATATAACAATTGATGTTCCAGCACACTGAAGCATATGTGACATAATAGTTGATTGGCGCATATGTTATATAACAGTTGATTGGCGTGTGTGTTATATAGCGACTGATGTTCCAGCACACTGGAGCGTATGTTATATAACAGTTGATTGGAGTGTGTGTTATATAGCGACTGATGTTCCAGCACACTGGAGCATGTACCAGACCGCTATTCTTTGTCACGGATGCAAATTTTCATGAAAGTCCCGTTCTGTATATATAATAGACACTTGTGTGTCAGAGATTAGTTCAACAGAGTAGAAACACCCAGGTGAACTAATGCCTACCTTTTCCTTGATGGCGCCGCGTGCTGACTTGAACACCTTCAGGAGGGTGTGCAGTTTCTCCTGTCTGTCTATCAGCACCTGCAGGTGCAAGGCCCACAAACCAGCTGACCTCGGGTAGGTGTCCGTGGCTTGTTTCAGGACCTCCTCCACCTGCCCCATCTGTGTCGAGGTCAGCAGCAGCTCCACCTACAGGCAGAGGAACACACCATATACCATTATCTACCCAATAAGGTTGCATTACTTGTACAGTAAACTACGTTTATAACGAACACGCTTACAACGAACTGACGGATATAACAAACTATTTCCCGTCAATTTGCTGTATGTATGCTGTACATATGCTTATAACGAACTACGGGTATAACGAATTAAAATAAGTGGTCCCTTTGAGTTCGTTATAACCGTAGTTTACTGTATATCATTGGGATAGCCTAGCTGTGTATATCTCCTGGATGATATACCATTTATATACCACATGAGGTTGTACTACTTGTACAGCATGGGTATACCCTAGCTGTGTGTATCACATGGATGATATACCATTTATCTACCAAATATATTTTGTATTACTTGTATAGCATGAATATACCCCAGTTGTGTATATCAGCTGGATGATATACCATTTATCTACCACATAAGGTTGTATAACTTGTATAGCATGAATATACCCTAGTTCTGTATATCACCTGGATGATATACCATTTATCTACCACATATATTTTGTATTACTTGTATAGCATGAATATACCCCAGTTGTGTATATCACCTGGATGATTTACCATTTATCTACCACATATATTTTGTATTACTTGTATAGCATGGATATACCCTAGTTCTGTATATCAGCTGGATGATTTACTATTTATCTACCACATAAGGTTGTATTACTTGTATAGCATGGATATACCCTAGTTGTGTATATTACATGGATGAAAACAATTTATCTACCACATAAGGTTGTATTTCTTGTATAGCATGGATATACCTTAGTTCTGTATATCACCTGGATGATTTACTATTTATCTACCACATAAGGTTGTATTACTTGTATAGAATGGGTATACCCTAGCTGTGTGTATCACCTGGATGATATATCATTTATCTACCACATAAGGTTGTATTACTTGTACAGCATGGGTATACCCTAGTTGTGTATATCATCTGGATGATATATCATTTATCTACCACATAAGGTTGTATTACTTGTACAGCATGGATATACCCTAGTTGTGTATATCATCTGGATGATATATCATTTATCTACCACATTAGGTTGTACTACTTGTACAGCATGGATACTGTATATTGCTGTGTATAAGGCGAGTTTATTTTACCAAGAATTAGGGGGGATTCAAGGGGGGTCGTCTTAAACACAGGGTTGAAGAGTTTGGCTGTTTTTTCCCCAACACAAAGACATTACCGTGAGCACGTAACACTGGAAATACCATGTCAACAAATCCGTACTGAAGTACGCAAATTAATCACGTAATTACACTATCTGGTTATAAAAAGTGTACACTGTATATCTGGACTTCTGTTTGTAATCTATTTTATTAGCTGGTGATGTGCTACACTCCAATTCACTTTATAGACAGGGTATATAAATTAGCATCGATTTGGAAGGCTTGTACAGGGGGGTCTCCTTATACATGGTGTTGCTTTATAGACTGCGATATACGGTATACCCAGTTGTGTATATCCCGTGGATGATATACCATTTATCTACCACATATGGTTGTATTATTGTATTACTTGTACAGCCTGGGTATACCTATGTTGTATACAACATATGGGCGATATACCACTTATCTATCATACATGGTTTCATAAATTAAATAGCATGGGTATAAATATGTATGTTATGTATATCACATGACTGATATATCATTATCACATATGGTTGCCTTAATTGTATATCACTGGTACACCTGCGCTGTGTTGTCCCTACCTACATGGTTGTTTGTAGAGGGGGTTGCTTCTCACACATGTCCAGCCCCCCACCCCCCCCCCGGCCCTGCAGTAAAACAACTCCTTTCCAACCTTCACCAATTGTAAAGTTCAGCTTATCAGATATAGAACCAGACTTATCAAAGACAACCATGCCATTAACCGTTATTTGGCACAGAAGTAAACCCATGACGGGTCTGCTACAACGCTCATATTTCCCGGACGTCCACCGACACAGATTGGCAAGGCTCCAGTGCCATTAGGACTTATCAGTTGCCATGCTAACTGCTCCATCGATAGCAGCATTGACACAACCAAACAGTAGATTTTAACACGCTTTCTTCAGATCTTATCAGTTTCTTTTATCTTCTGTAATTAATGTTCAAACACGATTGAAATGTCTTCCATGAATCATTAAAGAGAAATCATTTAAGTGTGGACATTATTGTAAAAATATAACCTAAAGTATTTTAGGAATGTAATTTCGAATGTATAATAAGTCATAATCGATTGAAGTCGAACGTTGTTGTGCTCCGCTGTATACAAAGAATGTCAAGGCCTGTCACTTGCAGCATTCATACCAGAATACCACAATCATACCACAATTAAAGTACTCATGTCAACAGCAGGGTCGGGGTGTGTGGTGTCAAGGTGTGAACATGTCATGACGTCATGGCCAGGTTATCATGCAGGCTATCGAGTAAAGCGACACCTATTGGCGACATGCTATACATGTCAATATGGATGTCAGGCGCCGATTGCGGCATTAATCATTTACACCCTTAACTTTTGCTTTATATATTATTTACACACAAATAAATGCAGCCAATCGCGACATGGGTTTAAATGCTTGCACCTCAACATGGCAAACAAGACATTTTATTGTGTTTCCACTTAATTTTATTGTGCTCCCACTTCACTGCCTGCAGTAGATAATGCAGCCCTAGATATCCTCCTGCTAAAACCTACCTAGCAGGGCTGTGTAGCACACCTGTAGGAGGTACAAAAGGCTATTTCACACTGATGATATATATACAGAAAGCCAAATTCGTTACCTTCATAAAATTCTAATTTGTTTTTGCTGTGTTTGAGTGGCAATTACCATCACTGAAATGAACTTGAATAATTTTCATCATCTTACAAAGTTTCATCTTTTTAATACGGTTAACATTATATTGCAATTTAAAGACAAATGTTGGGTCAGTTGAGCTAAAAGAAATCCTGGGACTATTTTAGTTAAAATAAGACAAATGAATGTATTCACATAAATATTAAGTGAGTATGGTTTTATGCCGCTTTTAGCAATATTCCAGCAATATCACAGCGGGCACATAAATATTGACATACTGTGAATTCTAGTTAATATACCATGGTGCTACCAATAACAGATTAATGATAACTTGGGCCTCACCTGGGGTTAACTAATGACCAGCAGATCCTGGCAGCTAAGGGGAAGCAACTCTGTGTATGGACTGTGGCATCACTGACAACTGTGCCCCCTTAGCCTCCTGTGTTGTCAGAGAACTAGAGTGACATTTGAGTCAGCAATCTCTCTGTGCTACAGTGACTTCATTAAATGCCTTGCATATCTAGTGTCATGTTCAAGCTCTTAATGTTTATCATCAGCTTGTTAAAACTTTTATGTTTAGTGCTTGAACTTCCCTGTGTGATCATGCAAACAGTTTGATTAATCTGCTACTGCTGTGATTGATTGATTGTGGGTGAGTGGGTGGGTGTGTAGATGAATGATTGTGGGTGAGTGAGTGGGTGTGTAGATGAATGATTGTGTGAGTGACTGGGTGTGTAGATGAATGATTGTGTGAGTGAGTGGGTTGGTGGGTTGGTGAGTGATTGAGTGAGTGGGTAAGTCAGTGAGGGCGACTGGGTTGGTGAGTGATAGATACTAATTAAGGAAAGACAAGTTCTATAGATGAAAAACTTCTTTGTTACAATTAGTGCGATACTAATTAAAGACATAGGTCAACATTGGCCCAGTAGCTTTGTTTGTTTCAGTGTCTACTGGTGTGCAGTTTAATTGAAATCAGAAAGAAAAACATAATTTTAAAATCTTTAAAGAAAGACTTTATAACAGCCTTAGACTGATATTGTAAAACGTTTTACAGAGAAGTACATAACAGAACTGAGGTAAAATTGTTAAGATTGCTTCCATTCAATTAAAGTCTTAATTTATCAAATTTATATAAAAATAAAATAATTGGGAGAATTATAAAAAAACAAAAGGCACATCTACACTATGTGGTGACATGTGTTCACTAAGTTTCTTAGAGATATCTCTAAAATAATTTTCCAGTTTTGCTTCAGAAATGATAGACACTGGTTCTTTTGTTTGTTGTTTAACGCCCCACTCAGCAATATTCCAGCTATATGGCAGTGGTCTTTAAATAATTGAGTCTCGACAAGACAATCCAGTGATTGACATCATGAGCATCGATGCACACAATTGGGATACGATGACATGCTTCAACCCAGTCAGTGAGCCTGACTACCTGATGCCGTTAGTTGCTTTTTATGACAAGCCATTGCTTTCATTCAGTTCAGGGATTAATTTTTAATTTCTAAAATTTATATATAATAAAAATTCAGAGGAATTATAATTAGCAAAAGGCACATATACACAATTTGTTATCTCTTACAATTTTCAAGTTATGCTCCGTAAATGAAACCCACTGCTTTCATTCAGTTCAGTCCAAATTAATAAAATTCATATTAAATAAAATAGAAATGAATAGAGACTTCCCGCAAACTTATGTTGACAAGATGTTGACATATAATAGTCAAACGACAACAAATATGACTTTTAACAAGTCAAAGTCACTTCACACACGATTTTGTCAAAATTAAGGTAAACACCTTGAACAATATATACTGAACCAAATTAAAAACTTCACAATCCTAAAATTTTAACATTTTGACCAGTTTTTTTTAAACAGTAATGGCCACGTATTGTCTTCAGATAACACCCGTTTTTGTGCAGGTGAATAGATCAAAATCATGTGCACAGCACTATAGTGGCAAAAGTGTTTTTTCACGTGCAACTGGTCACGTGGCCATAATACCGCACGTGTTTTCAGCCATACTTGTTAGCAGTCATTAACAAAAAAAGAAAAACACAAGAAAACAAAAGTTTTATGGCCATTTGTCATGCCATGCCTTTCAAATGTGCAACGTGAACGTGCCATCGGCATGTTGCAGACGGGAACGTCTGTAGCTGAAGTCGCAAGGACGATGGGTTGTAGTCGACAGACTGTTTATGATTTACAGACGCGTCTACAGCAAATGGGTACCACCACTGATCGCCCTTGGCCAGGTCGACCACGTGTGACGTCACATGCAGAGGATCGTCAGATTGTCTTACGTCACCCCCATAACCAGAAATGAACTGTTTAGGGGTAGACTGAGTGCGCAAACTGTTCGAAACCGTCTGAGAACTGCTCACCTTCAAGTACGATGGTCATACTGTGGGCCGATTCTGACTCAATTACACAGACGTCCAAGTCAATGAACGTTACGCCCAGTGTTGTGTACAGGAAGTTGACAGATTTCGAGGCGGAAGTGTCATGGTGTGGGGTGCTTTCTGTGGCAATGCACGTTCCAGGCTTCTTGTCATCCGTGGCAACCTCAACGCTGCTGCTTACCGCGACCAGGTACTGGCACCAGAACTTCTGCCTTTTATGGCAGCACATGGACCCGGTTTTATCTTTACAACACGACAATGCCAGACCCCACACAGCAATTTTGACAAGGAATTTCCTTCAGAATGCGTGAGTCAACGTCATGGACTGGCCGTCAAGGTCTCCCGACCTCAATCCCATCAAACACGTCTGGGATGCTCTTGGCAGAAGTCTGCGCACTCTCCAGAACCAACCACAGAATTTGCAAGATCTTGGCACCATTTTGCAGCAACAATGGCGTCGTCTTCCCAATCATGTGTTCACAAGCATCACAAGGTCCATGTGGAGGCGTTGTGTGGAAGTTGTCAACGCACATGGTGGTCATACACGCTACTGAACTTGTGTGCCATCAGATTCTCGTGCTTGGGACTTATGATTTAAACTGTTGATGTTATTACCAAATACCGTATGGTTACCACCGTTAATTAAAATCCTTCTTTGGACATAATGATTAAAAATTACCTTCTCTGATACATTTGTCCGTTGTATATCATATATGGGATTACTTTTAAAAATGTGAAGTTTTTAATTTGACTCAGTATAGATTACAAACATAAGTCCATATATACAATGAGCACTGTTTATAACCAGATAGTGTAAACTGCGTATACCAGTATGGACGAAATGACATGTTATTTCCAGTGTCAGGCTACGCGCTCACGGTAATGTCTATAGTCTGCATTGAGGACAAAATCATCGAAACTCACTGTGGTGTTTTTATTGAAAAGAAACTGTGCCCTATACTCAAGGGCATATGATATATGTTAGAAAGTGACCCTTGATTTTACTCTTTCATCATTTTATTCAAACATGAAACTGTAACTGTCAAATATGAGGTAGGGGTGACCAAAGTATTAATGTCTGATTGACAAAACAATCTTCCAGATCCCTGGTAGCTGCAGGAACTACACACACAGTTGAGTTCAAGTACACATAAAAAAGTTTCATAACAACAGCATAACACTGAGTGTAATTATCCAAAGTAACTTTTTCTGATTGCATACCCATATTTTTATTCTGATTCTTTATTCACGAATCAGATGCAGGTGTCGCATCCATCGTGTCTACTGCAGTGAATAATGGACAAAAACTCCCCTATGTCTTCCTGTTTAAGGAAACAAATGCAAAATATCTCAACAACAGTGCCAGGGGCGAAGGTCTGGTCCACGATCAACACAAAAACACACAGTATTTGAATATGTAAAGCAGCAAGGAGGTATATGGAATACCTGAAGACGACTACCAAAAGAGATTGAACGCATGGGAGAAAATACTCAATGGCTCACAGAGTGTCTGGAGCAAGGATGCCCCGTTGTTAGCTCACCTGGCCACGTGACCCCCTTATGTGACCCACCATACAACATACAGCTGTGAGGTTAATGTAGAAGAAACAAGCAAGGTGTAAAGTCTTCACAGTCTACATCACCTACTGAGAAACATTATAAACACAAGGCTTAATTTACATTGCTCTAAACTAAACACTGTCGTCTCTCTACTTGAACCGTATCCATTTCCTACAAGGACAAAAGCCGACACGACTGCCTTGAAAGTCTGTCTTGTAGACAGCAGAGATAGTGTAGTGTATCCGTGTTGGCCTGTGTGATGTAAGTGTCTGGTTCCTGGTGTGCCTGGCCGTTCCATACCACTGACCACGGAGGGGGATCTCACTGCTGTGGGGTGGGGGTAGGGGGGTAGGGGTGGGGTGTTAGTAGTAGACACAGTGGAGGGGAGGTGACAGGGGTTAACATCACCAGATTCTAATGCTTATATAACAATGTTGCTTTTTCTGTTTTGTTTTTGTTCGTGTGTCTATGGTGTGTGTGTATATATATGTGAGTGTATGTGTGTGTATGTATGTACATGTGCGTGAGTGTGTGTGTGTGTGTGTGTGATTGTGTGTGAGTGTGTGATTGCGAGTTTGTGTGAGGGATTGTGAGTGTGCGTGCGTGCGTGCATTTGCGAGTGTGCGTATGTGCGTGCATGCGTGCATGCGTGCATGCGTGCTTGCGTGCATGAGCGAGCTTGTACTGGTTTTATAGCCCTATCCCAATGAGATGACATTCAGCAGTTTAACTTGGACACCCAACTCAGACAACATACTGACTGAGCCGACCACGGAAGCAGTCCAGACACAACATTAAGCACTGAGTTTAATTTCAACTGATTGATCATGAGATGTGGTGTAAGACAAGACGTGTGGTCTGTCGGTCACCAGGACCTGGGTTGCTGTAACAACCAGACACTGAAGAAGCTGAGGTATCGGTCTCTCTGTCAAACACAGGCCGCCTTGATGACAACTTGTTTACCCAACAATATGTCACTGCAGACACTAGCATCATAGACTGTAATCAGCCGGGCACTGTAAAGGTGCCAGCATCCTCATCATAATGATGTACAGTATAGACTAAGAACATGGCAGTGGTAACACAGCCACTCAATAATCACTGAAATTACTTTTTATTACAAGTTTGCTTGTTTTATGCTACACTCAGCAATATTCCTGCTATATGACTGTAGTTTGTAAATATTCGGGTCTCTCCCTGACAATCCAGAGATTGACATCATGAGCATCGATCTACACAATGGGGATCTACTGACATCCATTAATCATTAGCTTGATCCATTTAATTGCCTCTTACAACAAGCATGTTATTATGAGTACTGGGGACGACTTAAAGTCATTTTGGCCATGTTAATACACACTGAAGTTATCTTTTATTACAAATATTGGGGATAAGAAGTATTTTTTGGGCTATCAATACATACTGGTGTTACCTTTTTTTACTAGTATTGAGTGTTGCGGACAACCTATACAAAGCCATTGTGGCCACCCAATACACACTACAGTTCCCTTTTATTGTGAGTATTGTGTACTGGTGACAACCCGTAAATAGCAATTGTGGCCATCCAATACACACTACAGTTCCCTTTTATTGTAAGTATTGTGTACTGGAGACAACCTATACAAAGCCATTGTGGCCATCCAATACACACTTGACCACCCAGTACACACTACAGTTCCCTTTTATTGTAAGTATTGTGTACTGGAGACAACCTATACATAGCAATTGTGGCCATCCAATACACACTACAGTTCCCTTTTAATGCAAGTATTGAGTACTGTGGACAGAGCTCCCCTGGGCTCTAGTAATTGGCTTGTACGACTTTGCTGTGCCCTCTCTCAGTGAAGATTGTTGATATGTTTATCTTTATTGTATCAAAGTGTTGCATATGACTGCCCTGCTGGAGGTGACTCAACTCACCCACTGCATGAACAGCTTCTCCTCCACCATCTGATGCTGGGTCGCATCATGGAAGACCTCAAATGCCCGCTGCGCCCTCTGAAACACAAACACCTGACCATATAGCCATCAATGTGAATTATTCATCCATAGAGCCAGTCTCAATGGACCTTTCCCGTGACGCTCAATACGAGTACACCATGCAAGCGGACACAATCTATTTGTACGATGCTATCTTACGTGACTTTCAAAGAAGGTCGACAATATTGTTCTGACAACAGGACATAGACACGGGACATAGGACTCAGGACTCGGGTTTCTTACTGATGAGAATCTATGTAACTGAATCAGCTCTGATTCTACCTGACTTGTTCCTATGTCAGCAACTATATCACAACCCCCCAATCCTCCACTGATACAAAGTATATCATTCAGCTCTTTTGTCTGCACAAGGGTTAAATATCAGGTTAAACAAAGTATTTAGGACTCCCCAATCTGGATGAACCCTCCGTAAAGAGGTATTAAGTGTAGACCCATGTGTCCGTGCCGGCCCCAATAGGTAGGGGGCTCCTTCAAGAGTCAGCCAATAAGATTTATCTGAGTACGGGGAAGCTGATAATTATGGTACTTCAAGCAAACTGAGAGGGCTGACAACAGAACATTGGCAGAAACAAGCATATCTTGGAGTACTGAATAGAGGTGGGACAATACACCGATGCATCAGTGGATCGCGATTTTTTACTTCTCGATACAAGTATCGATCACAGTCGCACACTAAGTAAAAAGTATCGATTCATACCTTAAATGTTTCATTGAATACCGGTAAGTGTTACACCAAACACTAACTACTAGTGAAAAGGAGAAGTGAAAACATAAACATTTTCATCCATTGTGCCATACCTGACACTGCCAACTGTTAATCATTAGTGTGCCAGGTATTTGGCAATCCTGTCTATGAAAAAGATGGCTATAGCTTACGCACCACAGATAAGTGCACATGCAAGTATCACGATATGTATCGGATCGTGAACAAGGTATCATGATACGTATCGGATCGCACAGTTGGTGTATCATCCCAGCCATAGTACTGAACACCTTCGTGTCAAGAAATATATATCAATGTCCAGCTGTCTAAAACTTCAATTTAATGTATGGTGATTTGGCTTAAGACAGCTCTGGTATCCTCTTGAACCTCTTCGCGTATCAGTGAGTTTGTTGACAAGTGTAATATGCACACAATAGGTCCACCATTAAGGGTGTATCATGATCAGAAATACAATTAGGTTGGACATCTTAATCAGGTATTGATGTTTGTACTTGGAATAGTCAGGTCCAAATGAGAGCTCTTATGTAACATGCTTACATTGGTAAAATATCGTACAGAACAATTATTCATGTAAAACAGTTATTCATGTAAAACAGTTATTTAGGTAAACAATCTGTATTCTGTAACACATAGGAGCTGTGGCTGAAGCATGTTCTGTGTGGTCCAGGTGTGTGTGTTGTATGTTGACTGTGGGTTATGATACCCTGTAGGGGGCGCTGCATTCACTACATCCTCCCACTCAACAAGCATTATGGACATTCACAACAGAGATAACATTCTTTCCAAATGAATTTGTTTTTAAAAGTCAGAAAATCCGATATTTATGTTCCAAAAGATCCCCTTGGAATGGAGAGTTGTGCACCACTTGACGCTAGGTGCATCTCTGCCCCTGGAGCCACCATCACTGCCAATGGAGCCACCATATCTGCCAATGGAGAGCTTACACTGGATGCTTACACTGAGAGACCCTGGAGTGCAGTACATCTATAATCTCAGGGTGCAGGCAGATGCTCCCTGCATCTACCATCTCTGCCCCTGTGCCTACAATCTCTGCCCCTGTGCCTACCATCTCTGCCCCTGTGCCTACCACCTCTTTCCCTGTGCCTACCATCTCTGCCCCTGTGCCTACCACCTCTTTCCCTGTGCCTACCATCTCTGCCCCTGTGCCTACCATCTCTGCCCCTGTGCCTACCACCTCTTTCCCTGTGCCTACCATCTCTGCCCCTGTGCCTACCATCTCTGCCCCTGTGCCTACCACCTCTTTCCCTGTGCCTACCATCTCTGCCCCTGTGCCTACCACCTCTTTCCCTGTGCCTACCATCTCTGCCCCTGTGCCTACCATCTCTGCCCCTGTGCCTACCACCTCTTTCCCTGTGCCTACCATCTCTGCCCCTGTGCCTACCATCTCTGCCCCTGTGCCTACCACCTCTTTCCCTGTGTCTACCATCCCTGCCCCTGTGCCTACCACCTCTTTCCCTGTGTCTACCATCTCTGCCCCTGTGCCTACCACCTCTTTCCCTGTGTCTACCATCCCTGCCCCTGTGCCTACCACCTCTTTCCCTGTGCCTACCATCTCTGCCCCTGTGCCTACCATCTCTGCCCCTGTGCCTACCATCTCTGCCCCTGTGCCTACCACCTCTTTCCCTGTGCCTACCATCTCTGCCCCTGTGCCTACCATCTCTGCCCCTGTGCCTACCACCTCTTTCCCTGTGTCTACCATCCCTGCCCCTGTGCCTACCACCTCTTTCCCTGTGTCTACCATCCCTGCCCCTGTGCCTACCACCTCTTTCCCTGTGTCTACCATCCCTGCTTCTATGCCTACCATCTCTGCCCCTGTGCCTACCACCTCTTTCCCTGTGTCTACCATCTCTGCCCCTGTGCCTACCACCTCTTTCTCTGGGTTAACAAGAGGCCCTGCCCTCTGTATCCCCGTGCCCTCCAAGGTCTCTTGCCAACACTATCACACAAAGGCTTGCAGGCCTCACAGTACAATCATAAGACTGTCACAATTCCCTATCAGCCACTAATTAGTCGTGGAGATTTGTGTGTGGTCATCTTTAAGCCCTGTCAGGTTCTGCCAACACAAGAGCCAGGGATCATAAAGACACAAGAGGCTGTGTTGGTTTACAACAAGCCTCCACACACTGGCCACTTGTAACATGTAGCAGAGGGAAGGGCTGTGTTTGTTGTAGCGGCCATCTGGCCCCCCGATGGGGTAATTTGTCGGTCTGGAAACAGCTGGGTTGAGGTAATGGCAAACTGAGAGAGTGGTCGGGTGGCTGGCAGGGACGTAGGTCATGTGACACCAAGGTGATACCGTCACAGACAAACAGTCTGTGCGTGATCCCCGATTTGTTACATTGTTGCCTTTGTTAAGAAAGGTCATCTGCTGATGTGTTGGACAAAGATCTGCCAGATGGAGAGACAGACTGAATGATGGACAGACAAACACAAACTGTGTAAAAGAACAAGCGTACAGGTCTTTCATGGGGTCGGTCCCTACTAATTAGCCGAATCTTATACAATTTGAAGATGGCAACACAAATAATATTTGCTCAAATCCAGGAACAAAATCAATACAAATTCAGCTCAACTAAATATGGCCAGATAATGAGTACATTAAAACTGAGAGTGCCCTACTCTGGTAAGTGCTGCTCAGGTCTGTGTGGTCAGCAATAGGAACACGTCAGTTAAAGGAGGTCTAGGGCCAAGATAGATTCCAGTCCTAGCTGAATTCAAGTCGTTAAAACTTGTTTTATCAATACCAATGTGCATGGGGGAAAACCATGCATCCCATTCAGGGTAAATGTGGCACTAACACCCATCCATATCAGGGGATCCACGGGGGAAACCATGCATCCCATTCAGGGTAAATGTGGCACTAACACCCATCCATATCAGGGGATCCACGGGGGAAACCATGCATCCCATTCAGGGTAAATGTGGCACTAACACCCTTCCATACCAGGGGATCCATGGGGGAAAACCATGCATCCCATTCAGGGTAAATGTGGCACTAACACCCATCCATATCAGGGGATCCATGGGGGAAAACCATGCATCTCATCCAGGGTAAATGTGGCACTAACACCCATCCATACCAGGGGATCCATGGGGGAAAACCATGCATCTCATCCAGGGTAAATGTGGCACCAACACCCATCCATATCAGGGGATCCATGGGGGAAAACCATGCATCTCATCCAGGGTAAATGTGGCACCAACACCCATCCATATCAGGGAATCCATGGGGGAAAACCATGCATCTCATCCAGGGTAAATGTGGCACTAACACCCATCCATATCAGGGGATCCATGGGGGAAAACCATGCATCCCATTCAGGGTAAATGTGGCACTAACACCCTTCCATACCAGGGGATCCATGGGGGAAAACCATGCATCTCATCCAGGGTAAATGTGGCACTAACACCCATACATATCAGGGGATCCATGGGGGAAAACCATGCATCCCATTCAGGGTAAATGTGGCACTAACACCCTTCCATACCAGGGGATCCATGGGGGAAAACCATGCATCTCATCCAGGGTAAATGTGGCACTAACACCCATCCATACCAGGGGATCCATGGGGGAAAACCATGCATCCCATCCAGGGTAAATTGTGGCACTAACACCCATCCATACGAGGGGATCCTGGCAGCTGAGGGACCCAACACTACCTGCTTTCTTTGTCATTGAATGCCACACATGATATTCGAGCTATAAGGCAGTGGGTGCGGTGCCTATACCTTAACATAGACTTACGACAGTTGTAGTGATAAGGTTGTTTTGTACAACAGCACCCTGGTCTATAGATAATGAAGTCTGGATCACACAATCCAGTGACTGATATCATGAGCAGCAATCCATGCTGTCATGGTATGATGACTTGTAATCAAACGTGTCACCAAGTCTGACCACCGGATCCACTAATGCGCCGCTCATGACAAGCGTAGGCAGCTGGGGACCTAGCATAACCCAGAATCCCTACTGGTTTCTTTTTCTTTATCGTTTAACGCTGTACTCAGCATCATTCCAGCTAGATGACGGCGGTCAGTAAATAATGGAGTCTGGACCAGTGATTGACATCATGAGCATCGATCCACGCAATTGGAATACGATGACATGCATCAACCAAGACAGCGAGCCTGACCACTCGATCCCGTTTGTCGACTCTTATGACAAGCATAGTTGACTTTTACAGCAAGAATGGGTTGCTGAAGACCTATTCTTTCCCGGGTTCTTCACCAGTCCCCTACAGGTACCTAACGCTACTGGGACATTAACAGCAGCAGCAGCAGCAGCAGCAGCAGAAGCAACGGAAGTATCCCATGCACTGTAGCCCGCCTGTCACAATGACGCTGGCAAACAAAGCCAATCTCCTCACTCAACTGAAGGACACAAAGCACTCGGGAAAGAGCAACCACTTGTCATCGGAACAAATTAGGCTAAGGTCAAAACCTGCAATCAATCCTGCTTTACTGAGAAGAAGGAATTTTTAGCCTGTAAGACTATCAGACAAGTGACAAGTGGTTCATGTCAAGAGGGTTTGGGTTTCAAGTGAGGCAAATCTCTCATGTTGGATACCCCATCAGTCAATATGACCCAGCTCACTTGAGACAAGGAAGGATGTACTCTACACAGACAATACATATCGGGGGCCGGAAGATAATCCTGCCCAATACACCTGATGCCGAACCGGACAGATTGCAGCCCAAAGGAACGCCACTTGCACCAAGTGCAGGTGTGTTCAAGGGTCTAGAAGAAATTACATAACACTTCCCAGACCCCTTATTGTCTTCATCTTGCGTATAGTCCTGAACAGACACATGCCATATGGCAGACCTCCAACACACGTCTGACACACATCAGGAGACACCGGACAGATACCAACACACATCAGGAGACACCGGACAGATAATAACACACATGTCTGACACACATCAGGAGACACCGGACAGATACCAACACACGTGTCTGACACACATCAGGAGACAGCGGACAGATACCAACACACATGTCTGACACACATCAGGAGACACCGGACAGATACCAACACACATGTCTAACACACATCAGGAGACACCAGACAGATAATAACACACATGTCTGACACACATCAGGAGACACCGGACAGATACCAACACACGTGTCTGACACACATCAGGAGACACCGGACAGATAGCAACACACATGTCGGACACACATCAGGAGACACCGGACAGATACCAACACACATGTCTAACACACATCAGGTGACACCGGACAGATACCAACACACATGTCTGACACACATCAGGAGACACCGGACAGATACCAACACACATGTCTAACACACATCAGGAGACACCGGACAGATACCAACACACATGTCTGACACACATCAGGAGACACCCGACAGATACCAACACACATGTCTGACACACATCAGGAGACACCGGACGGATACCAACACACGTGTCTAACACACATCAGGAGACACCGGACAGATACCAACACACATGTCCAACACACATCAGGAGACACCGGATAGATACCAACATGTCTGACACACATCAGGAGACACCGGACAGATAATAACACACATGTCTGACACACATCAGGAGACAGCGGACAGATACCAACACACATGTCTGACACACATCAGGAGACACCGGACAGATACCAACACACATGTCTGACACACATCAGGAGACACTGGACAGATACCAACACACATGTCTGACACACATCAGGAGACACCGGACAGATAATAACACACATGTCTGACACACATCAGGAGACACCGGACAGATACCAACACACATGTCTGACACACATCAGGAGACACCGGATACCAACACACATGTCTAACACACATCAGGTGACACCGGACAGATACCAACACACATGTCTGACACACATCAGGAGACACCGGATACCAACACACATGTCTAACACACATCAGGTGACACCGGACAGATACCAACACACATGTCTGACACACATCAGGAGACACCGGACAGATACCAACACACATGTCTGACACACATGTCCAACACACATCAGGAGACACCGGACAGATACCAACACACGTGTCTAACACACATCAGGAGACACCGGACAGATACCAACACACGTCTGACACACATCAGGAGACACCGGACAGATACCAACACATGTGTCTAACACACATCAGGAGACACCGGACAGATACCAACACACATGTCTGACACGAATCAGGAGACACCGGACAGATACCAACACACGTGTCTGACACACATCAGGAGACACCGGACAGATACCAACACACGTGTCTAACACACATCAGGAGACACCGGACAGATACCAACACACATGTCTGACACACATCAGGAGACACTGGACAGATACCAACACACGTGTCTAACACACATCAGGAGACACCAGACAGATACCAACACACGTCTGACACACATAAGGAGACACCGGACAGATACCAACACACGTGTCTAACACACATCAGGAGACACCGGACAGATACCAACACACATGTCTAACACACATGTCCAACACACATCAGAAGGCACCTGACAATCTCCAACACACATCAGGAGACAAATTACACATGGCAGACCTCAAACTCAAGTCAGCGTCCTGTGAATAACTGAATCTTGACAAGACAATCCAGTAATTGATATTAAGTGCAACGATCCATGCTGTCGGGTCACAATGACATAATATCAACCGAGTCTGACTGACTACAGTTTCTGTCACAAGTACTACCAAATGATCTTGGATGAGGGTTGTTGTTGTTTGTTGTTTAATGCCGCACTCAGCAATACTCCAGCTATATGATGTCAGTCTGTAAATAATCGAGTCTGCGCCAGACAATCCAGTGATTGACATCATGAGCATTGTTTCACACATTTGGGATGACATGCCTGACATGCCTGTTAGTCGCCTCTTACAACAAGCATAGTCGCCTTTTATGGCAAGCATGGGTTGCTGAAGAACTGTTCTATCTGGGATCTTCACGGGGGAGGGGGGCTTGTATGAGGTAAATTTATGTTCTGTTTTTAGATGATGGAACATGGCCTTGGAGAGAGAGGTATCCAATTGCTTCAGTAAATGTATTGCTTGATGCCCATCATCGCATAGTGAGGGAGAGCTTGGAACAATATTTCAGTTACATCACAGGGTGTCACAGCAGCCAGTGGTTCAAGTCTGGGCCAGGTGTACCAGACCCTGAAAGCATGGGTCTCAATCCACGTCACATGGACAGCATGAGGCAAGCAGCCATCCCAGAGTCTGATCTCATGTCTTGCCTGCCCTTACAACAAGCTAGGGCCCACGCTGATGGGTACTCCCTCATGGAGAGAGTAAGTGGTGGAACACGAACTAGGCTGAACAGTTATTGATATCCTTCAGTCTTCGGATAGTTTTATATGTGGAACATTCTGCCTACCTTGTGCAGCATCTCAGAGTGTCCTCTGTCCTTGCGCCCCTCGTCCTCAGGTGTGTCCTCAGTGTCTGGGGAGAGGACGTCCAGGCAGGCGGCAAGGTAGAAGCCCCACATCTCCTCTGTAAGACAAAAACGAATGTGATGACATTTATGAAAGGAGGTGGACTCAAGCTTCTATGACTGTGTAATGCCAAAGTATAACTTGTCACATCACCAGTAGAGATCACCAATGTGTGACTGTGAGAGAGTGAAAGTGAGAGAGTGTGAGAGACTGAAAGGGAAAGAAAGTGAGTGTGAGAGTGTGAAAGAATGTGAGTGAGAGAAAGTGAGAGTGTGAATGGGAGAATGTGAGTGGGAGAAAGTGAAAGTGTGAAAAAGCGAAGTTGACTTTGAGAGTGAAAGAATGTAAGAGTGGGAGAAAGTGAGAGTGAATGAGAGAATGAGAGAACAAAAGAGTAATAGAATGAGAAAATTAAAGAATGTGAAAGAGTGAGAGTGTGAGTGTGAAAGGAAGAGAATGTGAGTGTGAGAGAGAGTGATTGACTGACTGTTTTACATGCAAAAATAGATAAAGCCTGGAGATGCCACATCAAATGCCACATGGGAAGCAGAATTTCTGCCTGATATTGGGGTTAAAATTAGATTATTATTTTTTTTGCTTTATCAGCTATATTTTTAAATATTTACTGTTTTAACCTGTCTAATGTAACTGTTGTAACCTGTCTTTATTTAACTGTTACCTTTTATTCAAATAAAACAAACTGAAGTTTAAAAACGCCATTACTGGCTTGCATTGGAAATAGTTATCTGTAAATGTTGAACTCTACCATTGTATTCTGTACAACAGTTTGCTACACAATGTGCTACAGTTTACAACATGCTATGCCACAGTTGGCTACATTCTGGCACTTTTCGCAACATTTTGTGCTACAGTTTGCTACAGTTTCTAATATACTGTCAGTTCATTACACCATGTGCTACAGTTTGCTACATTCAATGCAAGAGTTTGCTCCATAATGTGCTAGCGTTTTCCTTTCTTTGCTACAGTTTGCTACATTCAATGCAAGAGTTTGCTCCATAATGTGCTAGTGATGTCAGGTGATTTTATCTAGACTTAGGCTAGGTTGAAGTGATTTAAAATCACATTTATTTGACAGATTTCTGATTGATAATCCCATCTGTCCATGTGGCCTAAATAGAGAAGATGCTTTCCACTTTTTTCTATCTTGTCCACGCTATGCCAAGTTTAGAATTGATAAATACTTTTTTGTTAACCAGCTCAGCATACATACTATACTCCACGGCAATGAAGATTCATCTTCCTCAGACAATGAATACATTATAAAATCAGTTCACAATTACATCATTGAAACAAACTGCTTTACGTAAGTTTTGTGTCAACTTAAGAATATAAAATGCATTTGGTATCTTGCTTTCCATTTTATTTCATGTTGTGTTACTCATTAATGTCTGCTCTATGGACTTCATTACAATCTACATGTATGATGTACAATATTAGGAGAAGCATTAATATAGGCCTTTTTCGCCTGTTTGCTAATCCTTTTTCCATTTTGTAATGCTATTTAATGTAAAATCTGAACATTAATGGAAATAAAATACTGTTTAAATCAATGTGCTAGTGTTTTCCATTCTTTGCTACAGTTTGCTCATATTATGTGCTTCAGAGTACTACATTCTACAGTGTTACAGTTTGCAACGTATGATAAGGTGAGCTACATTCCTACAGTCGTCATAAATAAAAGACCTGTATTACTAACACATCGACTCAGCAGAGACACTGAAAGAATTGAATCACAGAAGTTGTATGCAATAAACATATATACTTAATGTTAATAGAAAAAATATCTCATTCTGACTTGAATCTAATTGCCTGATCTTAAAACTGGTCTTTTAGAGGCTATTTGCATACCTTTGCATGTAAAACTTTAAGAGATTATATGCATTAAACATTCCCATAAATTGAAATTCAAACCTCATATTAACTGATATATTTTAAAGGTCACTGAGAACTTTCGTGGATGGCATTCACTCTTAAAATTTAATTTTACAGTCAAATATTCCCTAACAGCACCAACTGTTTTTATTGCAAATTGAGACATCCAGTGTTTAACCCCCATTGACCTCTCCCACCCTGCAGTGGTCAGCACACATCAAAGGCCATGTGACACCTGGCCAACCAACCAAATCACAGGTAATTGTCAATTTTAACAATGACCGGTCAATCATGAAAATTAAACCACTCAGGACTTAATACAAGCGTTGTTTTCATTGCCTGGTAGGCCCACTTTGCTGTGTTCTTGTGACAGGGAACGCAGCCTCCGCTCAGATAATCCTCCATCATAACGAGCTACGAACTTTGTCCTTGCCGGTCAGCATGAAATACACTCACACAATTCAACAATTGCAAATAAGCTGAAACCTAATCTCCAAGTCACTGATACGCTTGTACAAATGTAATCGCCATACAAATAAGATTTCCTTGTCAAAGTTTATCACAATTTAAGTGCAAGCTCAATTTTTCTACATCTCAGTTATTTTGTTTGCATAACAAAATTGATTAAATATAGTAATGCAGTTTGAAAATCATTACATCTTTGGATGAACATTTATACATTCATCCATTACGCTCTCATCAGAAGGGGAAAGTAAGACGAGAAGCAATAGCTGTGTTTCTACAGCCGGAGAGATGAGGCACCGAGCACATTGTTCAGTAATGACACATTCACATTGCTGCACGTTTTTACGTACAAACTAAAACTGCATTAACTTGAGATAAAGACTGGCGACTAATCCCCAATTGACAAGACACACATGAATCCATCTTAATGATAAAACTGTCTCCATGTTTTCTTTAATTGTCATGACAACCAGAGAGGAAGAGAGAGGATTTCACCAATTTAGCGGAACTGTGGTCTTATAAAGCAGAGCAGAAGCCTGGAATCTTCAAAGGAAACAATGAAGAAATGAGCTGTAATCTTTATTAAAGCATTCATGCAGAAATTCTTAAAACCAATCTGCTAAAATATGTCCTGTGGATTTGCTTAGATGAAAGTAAGGAGAATTTTAGGCTTGGTTTTGATTGTCACTAATAATGGTGTTCACTTTGATGTTGTAGACGAAGTTGCGTGCATAAACAGCTGTGAGATGAAGGTGCTGATGATGCTGTATGACGACAAGTGAGAGTCACAAAGTGTACAGGTCATAGCTTAACGCAAAATGGAAACAGAGTCACGCTACATCACAGCAGAATGTTTGCAGTACTGGAAGCATGGCATTATTTACTGTGTGACTGAATTAATGACAAAGATAATTCAGAAGTAGCGTGTTGTCAATTACATTGTTATCGAATGCAAGTGATTAACTGCTAATATTGTTTAACCAAGTCTGATAACGTTGAGTAATGGGAGCCAGAGAAGCGAATGTTGTGTTGAGACGAGGCCACGCAGAGACCTGCCCGCGTTTGATACAATTACCATGAAATATGACACTTTAAACACGCCAAACATCTCAGTCATCCACAGTAAGATCGTTTTTTTCGAATTCAAAATCCACCGAATGACACCATGTCTATTTGAAAACTAAGTCATCACCCAGCGCTATAGTGAGATATATCAACCACTAGACCATGTCATCACCCAGCTCTATAGTGAAACATACCAACCACTAGGCATGTCATCAACCAGCGTTAAAGTCAGATATACCAACCACTGATGCAATGTCATCACCCAGCGCTGTCGTGAGATATACCAACCACTAGGATAAATCATCACCCAGTGCTGTAGTGAGATATACCAACCACAAGACCATGTCATCACCCAGCTCTATAGTGAGATATACCAACCACTCGACCATGTCATCACCTAGCACTATAGTGAGATATACCAACCACAAGACCATGTCATCACCCAGCTCTATAGTGAGATATACCAACCACTAGGCATTTCATCACCCAGTGCTATAGTGAGATATATCAACCACTAGGCATGTCATCACCCAGTGCTATAGTGAGATATATCAACCACTAGGCCATGTCATCACCCAGTGCTATAGTGAGATATACTAACCACTAGGCATTTCATCACCCAGTGCTATAGTGAGATATACCAACCACTAGGCCATGTCATCACCCAGTGCTATAGTGAGAATTACCAACCACTAGGCATTTCATCACCCAGTGCTATAGTGAGATATATCAACCACTAGGCATGTCATCACCCAGCGCTACAGTGAGATATACCAACCACTAGGCCATGTCATCACCCAGTACTATAGTGAGAATTACCAACCACTAGGCATTTCATCACCCAGTGCTATAGTGAGATATACCAACCACTAGGCCATGTCATCACCCAGTGCTACAGTGAGATATACCAACCACTAGGCATGTCATCACCCAGTGCTATAGTGAGATATATCAACCACTAGGCATGTCATCACCCAGTGCTACAGTGAGATATACCAACCACTAGGCCATGTCATCACCCAGTACTACAGTGAGATATATCAACCACTAGGCATGTCATCACCCAGTGCTACAGTGAGATATACCAACCACTAGGCCATGTCATCACCCAGTACTGTGCACACAGAGGGTGGAGATGCTAAAGGTCCAGCCAGCTAATGCCAAAGCCTTGGGTGAGGGTCAAGCATGCTTTATGAATAGATGCTGACTTAACTGCCATGCGTGCGTCTATTGCATGGAAGGATCTTGTCTCAAACCTGTGCAATACACATGTAAAATGGTCTGCTTAATTTATCAAATTGCATACCAATCATAAAATGTGCCTATTTCCCTGTTCCCTGTGTGTGATTTGTCTCGAGTCTCACACGAACTGAGACTAAATCCCATCCAATCTATTAGTGCGATGCTCCTCAACTCTCTGCCACCAGTAATCGGCACATACCCATGTTGATGATGTAGCAGGAGTGCGGAGGGGGCAATGAGGAATCAACTGATGGGATCCCCCGAGATGAGGGGACCGATCACCTAGATAGGATGAGGGGGGTGAACGGGGAGGGGGGTGAACGGGGAGGGGGGTGAACGGGCCGGGGAGGGGGTGTGCGGCAGGACCAAGGTCTTCAATCACAACCAAGGACA